GTGGGCTGGCCCCGTGGCCATGTGGTTGTGTTCGTACGCTCCGCTGCAGGCGACCCTGTGTTTCGTTGGTTCGAATCCTGGGCGCGGACATGGCACTGCTCATCAAACCATGCTGAGGCAGCGTCCCACATGCCACAACTAGAAGGACCCACAACGAAGAATATATAATATGTACCAGGGGGCTTTGGGGAGAAAAAGGAAAAAAATAAAATCTTTAAAAAAAAATTAATTAATTAATTAATTGTGTGTGAAGCACATAGAACAGTGTTTAGCAAAAGGAAAGTTCTTGATACGTGTTGCCAAAGTAGTTGGTGAGCCATCTCTCATCTTCAGGATTTCTTAGGGAGAAGTCAGCCCCCGGGCCACAGTATGGAAAGGCACCCCATCATTTAAGAACTGCCTCCCTGGGCTTGAAATGATATATGCTACACCTCTCCACCTCTCCCCCTTCTCATCTTGGGGTGGTAAGATAGTGAGAATGACAGTACAGATAACAGCCCTCTCCGAAGATGTGTCTTCATCAAATCCTCTCTCCTTTCCACATTCTGACCACCTTTTAATCTCTTTGATTTGCCTGAGAGGTCCAAAAGTGGTAAAACTGGTTCTATACTTTTCCTTTGTAACTTCTACGTAGGCAATGGCTTCACATTCGCTTTGGGATATGATATCCGTGTACTGGCATCTCTGTAGAAACAGGTGGGGAAAGGCCCCATTTCAACATCCTATTATATGGCTGCTCTTATTGCCTTGGGTTCTATGAGACCCTTGGGTTCTCGTAATAAATTCTTCCCTTTTACTAGTCTGATTGGGTTTCTTCTACTTGCAAACAAGTGACTGCTGACCAAGACACAAGTCCTAATAATGACATGACCCTATTGGGGTGTTCCTCCTGAAGTGGGAAGAAGCCAGAGGAAGCAGAGCAGAGAGTCTAAGCCAAAATCTCCCACAAGTTCAATGGCCTGAAATGGGGCAGAAAATGGAAGACAGAGTTAAGAGCCAGGCCTGGGCCCCGGAGCTGAATGAATTGTAACTGAAGAGGTGAAGATTGAATTCAAAGTGAAGTGGTGCTGGGCAATGGCTCACTTCCACTTTTCACAATTTTGCTTTTTAGTCTCCACAGCCTGTAACGTGCAGTTGGCTTAAAGGTACAAGGTCAGGGACGAGAGCCACCAATATCTCCAGGTCTCTGGCCTCTGGCTTTTGTTGAATTGTTTTTGGAGTGGGATTATAAAGCCAGAAGATTTGACTCTTGGTACCAGCTACCAATGGCTTTGCCCAAAATGTTGCCAGTCGGCCCTGCATTAGCCACACGTGAGCCCATCGGGGCGTATGAAGGTGCAGAGTTACAGGCAAAGGAGTGCCTAGGACGGCCCAGGCAACTTTGCAGCTTTAAGGGAAGGAAGAGATGCAGAAAAAATGTCAGGGAAGACAAGGACCTCATCCAGCACCCAGCGTTCTGGACATTCCTTCGGCTTCCCTCTGCTGTGGATTCCTGACTCCCACTTCTTGATTATCCCCAGTTCCTGGGCTGTGTCCTTTACAGATTAGGCCTTTTCCAACCACATCCCCCTTCCCCACTTAACCTATTGGCCAGTCATGCGTGAGGAAAGGGTCACCGGTTCCTGTTAGTCTTCACCTTTCCAGCCTGGTGGCTCCCTTGAGCTCCTGAGCCCACTCTGACAGCCTTGCTGGACTCTCCTCAAGGGTGTTATCTGGCCAAGGCACCCCATGCTTTCGTTTATTCTCTTAACTCTTAGTGAGGCAGGATAGCAGAATGGTTAAAAGCACAGGCCCTAGAGCCAGACTGCTTGAGTTCAAAAGCTGACTCCCCCTCTTATGAGCTGGGTAACCCAGGGCAAGCTGTTTAACCTCCCTGGGTCTCAGTTTCCTCTTTTCTAAAATGGAGATGGGACTAACCTAGGGTGGTGGAGAGGATGAAACTGAGTTAATGTATGGAAAGCCAGGGATACAGATCTAATCACGCTGAGTGAGATGGACAGTCCTGTACAGTGAAGAAGCATCTCACCCAAACGGCCATTAGTGCTCCTAGTTGAGAAACGCTGGCCAAGAGCACGGAGCCCAATCCCTAGGTTGTGTCACAGATCTGCCACTTACTAGTTTTGTGGCCTCAGACACTGAACATTTCAATGTCTCAGTTTTCTTTTTTTTGATGAAGATTAGCCCTGAGCTAACATCTGCCACCAATCCTCTTTTTGCTGAGGAAGATTGGCCCTGAGCTAACGTCCATGCCCATCTTCCTCTACTTTATATGTGGGATGCCTGCCACAGCATGGCTTGGCAAACAATGTGTAGGTCTGCACCCGGGATCCAAATCAGCAACCCTGGGCCGCCCAGGAAGAATATACGAACTTAACTCCTGCGCCATGGGGCTGGCCCCACATCTGTCTCCTTATCTGTAAAATAGGAACAATGATAGCCTACCTCATAGGCTTGACCTGAGGCTTAAATGAGGTAATACATATATTTTATTTTACGAGTTTTATAAAATATATTTTTATTTACTTATATTTATATTAAATATTTTAAATATATTTTAGGATGAGGTCTGGTACAAAATAAGCTATACATTTTAGTAACTCTCCCTATTATCTGTTCCCCTTATCTGATGCTGTAGTCATAACTGGAGGTGGCATATGATATATCATAAGCATTTTCCCCACATCGTAAAATAAATCCTCTTTGACTGCTTTCTTTGAAATTCCTCCGGAAGAAAAGTTTCCCTCTGGAGGTTAATTCCTATATGTATTACTCACAAGAGAAAACACTTTCCTTAGGACGGGGAAAATGAAACCAGTCATTTCCTAGTTGGTGGTGAATTAGACCAGCCTGAAGAGCTAAGGCACTTTAGTTAGGGATGGTTCAATTGCACGTAACAGAATGCTTCCCACACACCAGCCTAAGCAAGACAGACATTTTGGGGGAGGAAATAGGGGGGAATCTGGATGAACTCAGGGGCAGGAAGTAGACAGGTCTCATGAGGAACTAGAACCAGGAACTGGAAACTTCAAAATAGGTCCAGACTCCCGCTCTTCCTCACCACTCCCGCCACCACCACCCTAGTCCTAGACATCATCGTCTCTTGCCTGGCCTGTTGCAACATTCTCTCTGCTTCTCCTCTCGTCCCCCCACAATCCATTCTTCACACAGCAGCTAGAGTGATCTTTTTAAAATGTTGTAAGATTGTGTTGTTTCCTTGCATAAACCTTTCAGTAGTTTCCTGTTATACCTGAGGACAAGAATTTGTCCTGCTTGTTCACTGCTGTATCTCTGGGCTTGGCACATAGTGGGTGCTCAATAAATTTGTTAAATGACTGAATGGAAATGCACCAGGATTCAAGTATTCACTCCTGTCTCCATAACCCTCTGTGACTATGAGGTTTCTTGTTATTCTTTGTGACTCTCTTCCATGGTTCCTCTCTGGCTTCTTGGCACCCACATTAAACGTGGCATAAAATGGCTGCCTCAGCCTGGGGCTGTGTCACCTCCTAGCTTCTGCGTCATGTGCTAACATATCTCGGAATCCTAATCCCAATTTTCCAGGAGAGAGAAATTGGCTGGTTCGGCTTGGGTGAGGGGTCCACCCCTCTCTACTCCATTATGAGTGGGGACTGCTGAATCCCATTCCTGCGGGAAAGGCATTTTCAGAGAAGAGGAGCACGGGCTGGCAGACCACCCCCAACCTGTGTACCACCTTGAAAGGAGGGTTCATGTGTGGGGAATCCTCAGTCCTTGGGGAGTCCAGTCCTAGGTTTGCGTAAGCAGTTACACCTTGTCAGGAAGATCCCCAAAAGAATCTAGGATATGAAATAGATACAATAAACTAGCTACTATTTTTGCTGAACGATTGAACCACATGCTGGGCATAGTTCTAAGAACTTTATAAGTATTAATTCAATCTTCCCAATGATGCTATGATGTAGGTACCATTAAACAGATGAAGTAGATGCCGTTAAACAGATGAGGAAGGGGAGGCACAGAGAGATCGTCACGACAGAAGAGAATTCTAACCAAGCATTCCAACCCCAGGCTGCACTTGTTCCTTGACCACCTAAACAAGATAAGGATATGATTCCCCTCTTACAAGGGGCAAAATGAGGGTCAGAGAGAGAAAGTAAAGAAACATACCCAAGGTCACCTGGCTATAAAGTAGCCAAGCCTTGGGGCTGGCCCCGTGGCCGAGTGGTTAAGTTCGCGCGCTCCGCTGCAGGCGGCCCAGTGTTTCGTTGGTTCGAGTCCTGGGCATGGACATGGCACTGCTCATCAGACCACGCTGAGGCAGCGTCCCACATGCCACAACTGGAAGAACCCACAACGAAGAATACACAACTATGTACCGGGGGGCTTTGGGGAGAAAAAGGAAAAAATAAAATCTTTAAAAAAAAAAAAAAAGTAGCCAAGCCTTGATTGCAACAGTTCTACAGCCCTTAGACCAAACTTTCCCCATCAAATAGCTCACCACAATTTTATTAAAAAATAGCTTTATTGAGATACAATTCACATAGCATACAATTCACCTATTTAAAGTGTACCATTCAATGGTTTCCAGTATAGTCATGGATAGGTACAATCATCATCATAGACAGTTTGCCCACAATAATTTTATGGGTAAGAGAACTCCATTCCCAAGAGGGGAAGTGATTAACCAAAAGTTACACAGAGAGTAACTGATAGAACCCGAGCCACTGTCCCAATCACTGTGAGAAAGCTTCTGGAAAATCCCCATGAAAATAACTCTGTGTGTCAGAAAAATGGTGGCTTGTCGTGGCGCAATGGCATGTGGCGGAGCTGGGAGGAGGCAGCAGCTGGCAGGATAAGGAAGCCCCAGTCCCACGGAGACAGTGACTGTCCAAAGCTGAAACTCTGGGCTTCATGACTTCCCTGTGCCTACCTAGACGACCTCTTTTCTTGCTTCTCTCTTTTACTCCTTTGATAAACACCAACAGTTCTTTAAGACTCAGTTCAAATATCTCCTTTTCCAGGAAGTCTTCCCTGGTTCATACTCCCAGGCTGGACCAAGTGCTCCGCCATGGTGCCTGCTGGATGTCTTCTCTATCACAATAGCAAAGCTTCTCTCTGCCTTGGCCCCTCAGCCTTTGCTCAGTCCTCCCAGTGGTAAGTGCATGGACTTCAGAACTAAAAGGGCGTGGATTTAAATCTAGGCTCTGCCATGTCCTAGCTCTGGGACCTTGGGAAAGCACATAGTAGGCCCTCCAAAAATCCTAGTTCCTTTTACTCTTTCCTTCTGGTTTCTTGGAAAGTGCCTATTAAGCCTCAGTTTGCATTGGAATCCTGGTGTCCTCGTGTCCTACAGCCTTCTGGGACGTGGCAGACATTTTCATTGCTCAGCCTGTCTTACTATGGGAAATCATTCCTCACCCCCCAAATTCAGCTCAGTCCTTGTGGTTTGGGTGGTCCTCACCCCAAGTCTCAGGGGTGGGCAGAAGACCCAAGGCTGCTCTAGCCAAGTTCTACATCCTTTGTCCCCAGTGATTAGTCCAGGGATAGGCCTGTGAGTTAATCAGAATCCCTTCATGAAATATGTTACATGGACATTGGAAGAAAACACATCTCTCTCCCTCTCTCTCATCATCATCATCATCATCATGATTTACAAGGTTTTGAAGGCTTGGTATGGCCAGTAGCCATCTTGCAGAGAGTGAAGCCAAGCAGAATCAAATAAACCTGAAAGAGGGAAAGAAAGCTTTCTGATGCCCTCCTGGATCCACACAAGCCTGAAGTCCCCTTTGACTTTTATTTTCCTTTACCTGGTCTAGGATGGATCTTTGACAATTGCACCCAAAAGAATTCTGACCAGTACACAGGTTCACCATAATATGTAAACAGAGTGACTTGGTCTATGGTGGCCTGAAGACAAGCCAACAAGCTTTGGATAGCAGAGCAACGAGAGGCAAAGAACTTGAGCCCTTGATGACACCATTAAGCTGCTGAATTAACGAACCCTGGAGCCCATCTCAATTAGGACTTCTTGTTATGTGAAATAATAAAATTTCCCTATTGGTTAAGTAAATTTGAATTGTTTTTTTTATTAAATGTAGCTAAAACCATCCTTAACTTGATCTCCAGCCCTCTCCGCCTCCTTCCTGTGATCTTGGCAGGGATAGCGTGGAGGTGGGGTGACATACCTCTGGCTAGCCTAAGGAATGGTTTGCTTCTCACAGTTACTCTTACTCCTTGGATGCTATTTTTTCTTGCAGGCCCCCTTAGCCCCTTCTGGACACATTCCTGATTCCTTCACTCCTCCAAGTATCTCTAATACTTACCAGATTCTACTGAGGTTTTGGGGAAACAGGGAGAAGTTCAGCACAGTATAGGCACCAACTCAAAATGATCACTGTCCTAAAATTTCATGGGCCATTCCATTACTGCCAAGAAGAACTTCTTTCTAGCTATATCCGTCCTTGGGAATGAGCTTGCTGTCTTCTCCTCCAGCCTCTCTCCAGCTCCGTTCTAGTTTCTAGCCGTCTACTCCAAAACTTTTCTTACTCTACAATACAAAGTATAAACTTCAGGCTGAAGCTGACCCACTGAACACTCATTAAAGTGCCGCTGGAAACAAAGGAACAAGTACACCTGAGAATGACAGGGTTTTTTTTTTCTTTAACAAAATTAAATTCTTAGGCTGGGCTCCCTTTCCCATCAGTTTTTGGGAAGCTAAAGAGAATACTATAACAAATACTTCTCCTTCTGTCCCAAGCAAGCTCCCAGGGATTACGGGATCCCTCGCTCCCCACCCCCTCTACCTACACATTTACTAGTTGCCCCTGAATAAATATATATTTTTTAATAACAATTTTATTTGAGATATAATTCACATCACAAAACTCACCATTTTAAATCATACAGTTCAGTGAGTTTTAGTACATTCATTCAAAAGGTTGTGCAACCATTGCTACTATGGAATTTCAGAACATTTTCATCACCCCAAAAAGAAACCCTGTACCCATTAGCAGTCACTTCCTCTTTCCCCTTCCCTCAGCCCCTGGCAACCACTAATCCTAACAACTGATTTTAAAGGAAAACATTCAGTGTTTCCTCATTAAGTTTGATGTTAGCTCTGGGTGTTTTGCAGATTGAGAAAGTTCCCTTCTATTTCTAGTTTGTTGAGTGTTTTTATCATAAAAGGGTGCTGGATTTTGTCAAATGTTTTTTTATGTATCTATCGAGATAATCATGTGGTTTTTGTCCTTTATCCTACTAATATGGTGTATTACATTGATTGCTGTGTAAAGAAATATTAACACGATGTTTTTAACACATTCCGTGTTGCTATGTTAAATCACCATCTTGGTTTATAAGCTCAAGCGGACCTCATTTTAGGAAAATTTGAGAGATGACAATCTAGACTTACACAACTATAGGCTTGGTTGCTTAGGTTAATGAAGATTTCCTTTTCTCTGTCTACAAAGTTTTTCTGAAAGAGAAAATTCGTTGTGAGAACATAAAATAAGATGCAAAAATGAAATGTTTAGGCTTTTTAGGAACTATCTGTTAGTGCCAGTCTCTTTGAGGCTGAGAAAATTTACATCATGTATGATGACGTATTGTCCTGGGCAGTGGCCTAACTGGTCAAAGTGGGCCCCAATGCAAAGTCCACAGCCTCCTCAGGCTTCTTAAGTCACCAAGGCAGCTGCGGAATCGATCCCCCACCTTTAGGGGGCAGGAATCTCCTCTCTTGGGCAGGAAAATAGAATGAGGTTTGAATAGAGATAATGGACCACGGGAGGCCACCTTCTCCCTCCTTTTTATTTTCCTTCATTTTTAAATTCTCTCTTCTGGAAGTTTCTGCCTTGAGCGGAGAAGTTGCTGCAGCAGATCTTGCTCCGGAAGGGGAGAGCTGTGCATTCAACTTGGCCAATTACCACTTTAAGGACATTTATTTTTGTGTGTCCAGCATTGCTTCCTTTGGGGAACTTCCTTCCCACCTCCGCCCCATGGCGTACTCACAGGGCTGCCAATCACAGGACTCTACCTCTCTGACCACAAGAGTGACTCAACACTGAGTCAACTTGACTTTCTCAGGACTTTGGAACCTTGAGTGGAGACATGTGGGGAGGGAAGGTGGTTGGAGCTGAGTCATTTGACGTGTTTACCTAGAGCCGTGGTTCTCATGTGTGGTCCCTGGACCGGCAGCATCAGCATCTGGGAGCTTGTTAGAAATACCAATTCCCAGGCCCCACCCTATACCTACTACATCGGAAATTCCGGAAGTAGGCCCCAGCAATCTGTGTTTTAACAAGCTCTCCAGGTGATTCTGCCCTAGAGAAACTAGAAGTTTCTGCTAGTGGGATTTCCAGAGCTTGACTGGATCTTGTCCTTTCCTGTCACTTGGCTGTTGAGACCTTCCTTAGATTCTTTGATCTCCTCAGTGTCCTTCTGCTAAATTCCTTTTTGGTCTTGTTTTATTTGAGAGAATCAGAGTTAATTTCTGTTTCTGGCAACCTAAAGACCCTGATTGACGGCCCTCTCACCTAACTCATAGCTGCACAGACTCTTCTCGAATCGTGGGCCTTTGCACCATACACAGGCTGCACTGGTTCAACTTTACCCTGATCTTTGCATTTAGCTTCAGCCCCAATTGTGTTAACTCCTTTCTAGACAAAAGCAGAGCCCGGCAGGGCTTCTGACCAAGCTCTGCCAATGTCCTACCTGTTAATAGTTCAGTTGTCTCCTCCAGTAAAACAGGCCTTTGTATCTTCCAAGACCTCTTTATAAAAACATCGTCTCCTATTCCTGCATTTATTTGACTCCTCTCTTTTCTCATCTTAGCTCCTATCTCCCTTTTTAACTATTAACCACACCTGTTAGCATAATACAGTTTGTTTTCTATATTAGTTAGGGAACAGAATAAGCTGTTTTAATAAAGGGATTCAAAAATATAGGACACATTTAAAAAAAATCTCTTGCTTAATAGTTGCTGCTATTTTATCTCTTTAAGTATATGAGTGGTCCAGAGGGAGTCCAGAGGTGAGTAGTAAGTGGCTCTGTTCCAGGTGGTTATTTAAGGACACAGGTTCCTTTGGTCTTGTTTGGCTGCCATCTCCTAGGACACTGTTGAAGAAAGTTCTTCACCACTATATCTACATTCCTGGCCTGAGGGAAAAACAAAAAGGAGGAAGTACATCGCTAACAATTTACTTTTGAGAAGTGATGCTCATATCAATTCCATTCACTTTCCAGTGGTGAGTTCTTGCAGGTCACACACAGCGAGCTGCAAGGGAGGCTAGGAAATATGATCTCAAGCTGGGCAGCCATTTGCCCTGCTACATCCTGGGGTGAGAATTAGTTTGTTGCTAGAAGGAAGAAGAAAATAATGGATAACTGAGGACAACTATCAATTTTTTCACACTTTCTAACCCTGAGTCTTATATTCATGTATTGAAAGCTCAGATGCCATCATGGGCAAGCAGGTGATTAAGTGAATAAAGCAGTCTGGGGATAAGACTAGAAGGAGTGAGGTGACTATGACAGTGACAAGGTGGGCAGCACTATATCCTGTGTAAAGGTGGCAACAGCTAGTTACCTATCCAATGTCCCTTCTCTCTTCTTTGCTAACCGACCTCCAAGTTTGCTTGGGTGGTAGTGTAACTAGGACGTAAATCATGATTTTCTAAGCCAGTAATGAAATTTCTGTTTCTAGTGTCTCTTGCTTCCCTTGTAGCTGGGAGTGTCCAAGTGACTCAGCCAATGAGAGAGTTAGGGAAGTCTTGTGGGGGACTTCTGGGAAAGCTTGTGCTTTCCTAGTAAAGAGCCAGCCATGACTGGAGCTTCCCCTTTTCTGTTCTTCCTGCTTTGAATATGGGTGTGATACCTGGCGCTGGGGCATCCACCTAATGACCATGGGGTGACAAGCATGAGGAGAAGGCCAAAAGAATTGGGGTGATACTGTGCCAGAAGGAACCAAGGCCAGAGGCTGCCTACCTCCAGATATCTGGTTACATGAAAAAAACAAAAAACAAAAACACCTGTTTTTGCAATTTAAAATTGTTGAATCTCGCTGGTTTAAGCAATTTAAAATTGGTTTATCTGAACCTCATGGCCATTTGAAACTGATTAAATCCTTCCAAATTTTTTCTGTGTATATTTACTTTGTAAAAATATGAAATAGATATACTCCTTTGTAACCTGCTTTCCAGATGTACAATAAATAATGTGCAATTTTATACAATATTAAAATAAGGTACAATATTGTAAGCACCCTCCCCTGTCATCTACTATTGTTCAACATTTTTTATTTTAATGACTGCAGACTATCCACTGCATGAGTGCAGCATAATGCATTTAATTAATCCTTTATCATCAGACATTCAGGTAGTTTACAGGTTAGCTGTTTAGGTTTTTGAGGGGGAAGTTTGCTATTATAAACAATTCTATAGGAGATCCTTGCAACTAACTTGGAAACTTCTGAACATATCCTTGTAATTACATTCCTGATTATTTCCTTAATTTTCTAGAAATGAAAAGACTGGGTAAAAAGTAACAAATAGCACATTCTTGTAAGTAAAATGATACACTTGCCTTTAGTTCTATTTCTGTTATCTTGAGTAACCAGTCATTCATTTGTTCACTGTCCATTCACTTAACAAGCCCAAGAGGCCCATGCTGGCACTAAGGGCACTAAGGTGAGTAAAATGTGGTCCCTGTCTTCAAGGAGCTCATAATGGAACAGCAGAGACAGGCAAGACAACAGGCAATGACAAGACAGAGTAGAAGGCGTGACAATTGTGGTAGGCAGCTTCTAACAAGGTTCCTAAGGATCCCTGCCTCCTGGTATTTATGCCCTTGTGCAATTTCCTACCTGTGAGTATTGACTGGATGTAGTGAGTTGCTTCTAATGAATGGAATATGACAAAAGTGATGAGACGTCACTTCTGTAATCAGGTTCAAAGGACTGTGACTTCTACCTCTCTTGTCCCCTCATTTGCTTGCTCTGATGAAGCCAGCTGCCATGCTTGCTTGATGCAGAAGCCTACATGGCAAGGAACCGAGGGAGGCCTCTGGCCAGCAGCTTTTGAGGAACTGAGGCCTCAGTCCAACAGGCTGTGAGGAACTGAATCCTGCCAACAATCATGTGAGTTAGGAGGTAGATCTTTTCCAGTTGAGCCTTAAGATGACCAGGGACACGGGCAAGCCGTGCCTGGATGCCTGATCCACAGAAACTGTGAGATAAGGAATTTGTGTTGTTTTAAGCCACTGCATTTTGGAGAAATTCGTTATGCAGCAATAGAAAACTAATACACAAGTGGAGCGGTACAAAGAAGCACAGTGTGCAACAGGTTCACATGCGACGGTGAGGCACCAAACCACTGTGGTGGGGAAGGGCTGCTCCTGGTAAGACTTCTGCAAGGAAGGCGGGCTTCCACTACGTTTTGCAGCCTAAGAAGGCATTAGTTGGGGGAAGAAGGGAGAGAAGGCATTTCCAGGCAGAGTTTGCAGAACAATCAAGCTTTGCGACCATTTCTCAAACTTGTTACTGGCTCACTTCTCATACCCTTGATTACAGGCAAATTTACTGTGAAATCAACAGAGCTTAAGCTTCAGGGCCCCTCACCTGCACAGACCCCTTCCAAAATCCAGGAAGGCCCTAGCAGTCTTGTACAGGTGAGTTTACATTCTTTCTCTTCAAGAGGTCCTCACACTTAAGGCCCCGTCGCAGTGGATCTGCCAAGAACCCTTCCACTGCCCTGCCACCCACCCCTCTCAATCTACAGCATAGACTTACCAGCATACTTTTTGTATTTTATTTGGCTCTCTTTGAAAACTGTTTCTCAGCAGCCCAGCCTTCCCCTCCTGCCTTCACTTCCTTAACCTAAACAATCCAGGTTCTGTACTTTCCTCACAGGCCGTCTTCCCCTACTCTTTAATCATCTTTGCCGCTGTTTTTGAAGTCTCTCAGAGTTTTCCCTTAGGTAGTGGT